TTTTTTTTGTTTGGTTGGTTTGTCTTTCAAGACAGGGGTTCTCTGTTTAGTTGTGCTGTCCTGGAACTCTGTAGACCAGGCTGGCCTTGGACTCAGAGATACAACTGCCTCTGCCTCCCAAGTACTAGAATTACAGACGTGTACCACCACTGCCAAACAATGGCAGGAATTTTAATTATCTTCATTAAGGATTCTCATTAAGTACCGAGTATTTTAAAAACTAAAACAAAAGTCTGCAGATAATATGTATGCCATATAAGACATCATAAGGAATTCTGATGTGCATATCAGAGGCTGGGGCATGGGAAGGAGGAAGGGATGCTGACAATGGCCTTCTAAGGAAGTTTCTGCTGGATGCTGCATGACTGTGGTGTGAAACAGTGTATAAGCCCAGGTACCACTTACAGCCCTAGCTTTGCAGCAGTTGCTGGAGCAACCCGAACCAGGTCTTTTTCCTTTCTGTAAATGATAGGCAGTGGATGTTCTAGAGGCGGCCTCAACAACCACTGGCACAGGACATGGAGCCCTTGGTCGTTCAAGAAATCTGTGAAAATATCTTGGTTTCTGTTTTTTGTTTTTTTAATCAGAAGAAAAATAGGTTTTCAAGCTAAAAAATGTGCTAATGTCTTACATTAATATTTTGCTTTTATACCAACTCAGTCAAAAATATAATTTTATTACTTTGGATGAAAAGACCCTAGAAGGCAAAAGTACCTGGGGACCCCACTAATCATGTGAACTTCTACCTCCTTTGCTCTCCATTGCTGTCCCTAGGAACTCCAAAGTTTCCAGGCAGGTGCGCCAGGTGATATCAATGTAGAAATGGACGCTGCACCTGGAGTGGACCTCACCAAAGTCCTCAATGAAATGAGGGCCCAGTATGAAGCCATGGCTGACCAAAACCGGAAAGACGCAGAAGCCTGGTTCCTTGAAAAGGTAACACCAAGACAGATTTGGTAAAACCCTTTGAGCTAGCACAGAGATCACCCATCCACCCACTTGCCTGTTGCAGAGCGGAGAGCTCAGAAAAGAGATCAGCAGCAACACGGAGCAGCTTCAGTCCAGCAAGAGCGAGATCACCGACCTGAGGCGCATGATGCAGAACCTGGAGATTGAACTCCAATCCCAGCTCGCCATGGTAGGGCAACGTGCGGAGCGAGACGCGGCACCCTTTAACTTCCAAAGAAAATGCTGCACCCACAGTATGCTGGACCGTGGGCGGCTCTCTTGTTTTCAGACCCTGACACTGCTCTGTCTCTCTCGTTTGCAGAAGAAATCCCTGGAAAACTCACTGGCTGAAACCGAGGGTGGTTACTGCTGCCAGCTGTCTCAGGTGCAACAGCTTATAGGCAACCTGGAGGAGCAACTCCAACAGCTGCGGGCAGATGCAGAGCGCCAGAACGCTGACCACCAGCGGCTGCTGGGCGTCAAGGCCCGCCTGGAGATGGAGATTGAGACCTACCGCCAGCTGCTGGATGGAGAGGCCCAAGGGTGAGCAGACAGACAGTGAGGTTGGAAATATCGCAGGGACTGATGGGCAGTAGTGTCCTGATGCAGACCGTTTGATCTGCAATGGGAGAAGAGGTCTACAGAGAACAAATCTTACCAGTAATCCCAGCACACAGAAGGCTGAGGCAGCAGGAGCCCAAGTTCCATACCAACCCGGGCTATAACCACATAGGGAAAAGAGGTGGACTGGGGAGTAGCTCAGAGGGTAAAGAGCTTGTAAATGTGAAGAACTGAGTCCAGAACCCCAAAACCCACATAAATTTTTAATCTCGTCTCTCCTACTGAGGTTGGAAGGTGCAGACAAGACTATCCCCCAAAAGTTTGTGGCTCAGTGTATCTCAAACAAGGTGTAGTCCAGGACCAACCTGGGGTGTATCTGACATCCATGTGTGAAGTTGCTAATACACTTATGCACACGGACATGCACACACATACATACATATACACACATCATGCACACACATCATACACGAACAAAGATTTTTTTTTAAAGAGGAGGAAGAGAGGATAAAACAACAAATCTAAAAAAACACATGTCTGCAACTTATTTAATATTATACAAAATGTATCTAGCCATTATATGACTCGATACTAATTAATAAAATGCTGCAGTGGACAAAGACTCATTGTAAATGAACACTTACATGTTCTAGACGAACCATCTGATGACCTGATGCTAGGGATGCTGCATCACTATTAGCCATCTGGACCACCTCGTCCCACACTAGCCAGCCTGCCGTAGACAATAGCAGCCCAATGTGAAGGGGAAGAACTGCTCCAAATGTAAATTAAGAAAGCTGGTTTCTGAGACCAAGCTGCCTCCCCTCGGAGCCCATTGTAGGTGGTTTAGAAACAAATGTGTGTTGACCCAATTGCTTATCCTTGTGGTGCATCATTCAGCCAAGAAACTTGCAATAGCATCTCTATTTTTTTTTTTTTT